GCCACAGCCATATTTTTCCATAAGATGCACAGGGATTGCATTTTACAGAGTGAAAAATACAGTAATTACATTTCTAGAACCAGGTTTCCTAAAATAAATGCATTAAAAAAACATAATTAGAAAAGGCAAAAATAAATCATTTTGTGTTGTTGCAAAGAGAATTATATATGTGAATTATATATGAGAATTATATGTGTCTATGAAGTTATGTCATTTGAAGCTGAATTTCAGATGATACAATACTACATTAGGATATAATATTTTCCAGCTAAATTCAATTTTGGTAAATAGAAAATGCAAAATACGAAGGGCAATTTAACTTGGTGGATATATAATTTAACTATAAATTCTTCATAGCTAAAAAATTTAGATTTGCTCTTTTTTTAGTCTCTCAGAAGAGTTAAATTAAAAATTAAAAATAAAATTAAAGAAGTTTTGAATATATATGCAAATCAATGTAGCCTGGTGCTAAGAATATTTCAATATCTGCTAGATTGAAAATTAATTCTTTCTATGCCCATGGAATAGTCATTTAATTGCCTAAAGAAAAATGACTAAAGTGTTTGTCTAGTTGTCTATATGTATATTATTAAATCTGTGAAAATAAATTTTTGCTTCTATACTGTTGAGTTATATGAAGATATCTTTTGAATATTCTTTACAACTTCCCTTAATAAAATTTATTAACCTGTGATTTTGAGCACTGTTGAGATTCTGTTGAATCCCATCTAAATTCTTACCTGTTTTTAAAGGAGGGGACTAGTCTGGTGAGATTCTTGTACTACAGATAATATACAATAAGGTAATAAACTTGAAACTTTCATGTGTGGATCTGTTTGCTTGCATCTGACAACAATCTCCCAGACTCCTACTTCTTACTGCTAGTGAGTAACTCAGTGGCTATGATGCTTCAGTTACTCCAGGAGAAGGTTCAGAATTTTCCATTACCAGAGGTGCTGATTGCTTCAATACCCTGAGTAGTTAGTTCCAGCTGTGCAGCCAGTTTTGCTGTGTTGCTATGGTGGTTTGCAGAGAGATTTAGGGGAGAAATGGGCAAGATGAGAACCTCCATTGCTCAGTATGAGTTGTATATTGGAAACTGAGCTATAGAATCCCTACAGATTGTACTTCATGATAAGCTTGTTAAAGGAATCAGTGACTAAATGGATACTGTAATCATAGAAGAAAACAACCCAGTCATGGACAATTACCAGAAATTTATGAAAAGATTTAGGGGGTATTTTGGAGACCTGATACAAATCGTAACAGCCAGGCATGAGATTCGACAGTTCAGACAAGGCAACTGAAGGGTAAGGCTTTACATTATCAATTTCAAGTTCTTGGCAGCAGATGTGGATTGGAATGAACCAGCCCAATAGACAAGGTCAGGTAGGGCATGCACACCAACATCTGGACTGATTGGTTAGAAAAGAAATGCCACAGAATCTGGAACAGTTGTACCAATTTTGTGCACTCATAGACCTCATTAGGAAAAAAAGCAGGCAGAACTAGTACAATCCAATGAGCCCAGTCCTAAGTTTCACTGCATCAGCTCTCCCACATCTATACTTCCATAGCTCATATGGGAGAGGGAAAATCCATGCAGAATAACCGAGTTGGAAGGGACATTGGAGATCTTCTAGTCTAACCCCCTGCTTAGGCACAAGACCCTATATCAGGGGAGTCAGACATACATCGTCATGATGGTGTCTCAAGACGTAGCAGGACTTTCTTCCCCTTTGCTAAACTGGGTGTGGGCATGGCCAGCATGTGACTCATCCAGCCCAGGGGCCCGGAGTTTGACAGCCGTGCCCTATATGATTTCAGAAAAATTGTTGCCCAGTTTCTTCTTAAAAATCTCAGAGTTGGAGCATTCACAACTTCTGGAGGCAAGTCGTTCCACTGACTAATTGTTCCAACTGTCAGGAAATTTCTCCTTAGTTCTAGGTTGCTTCTCTTCTTGATTAGTTTCCATCCATTGCTTCTTGTCCTGCCTTCAGGTGCCTTGAAGAATAGGTTGCTCCCCTCTTCTTTATGGCAGCCCCTTAGATATTGCAACACTGCTATCATGTCAACCACGGTGCTTTTTTCATTAAACTAGACATATCCAGTTCCTGCAATTTGTTTTTCATGTGATTTAGCTTTCATTACCCTAATCAATTTTGTTGCTCTTCCCTGCACTTTGACTAGAGTCTCAACATATTGGGACAACCAAAACTAGATGTAATAGTCCAAGTGTGGTCTTACTAGGGCATTACAGTGGTACTAACAATTCACATTATTTTGCTTTTCTCTTGTCTCTCTATCTGTCAATGCAGCCTAGGACTGTGTTGGCTTTTTTTGGCAGCTGCAGCACACTGCTGGCTCATATTTAAATGATTATCCAAGAGGGACTGCAAGATCCCTCTTGAGGTTACTACTATTGACCCAAGTACCCCTTCTATCCCCTCTAAAGAGCAAGTCCCATCATGCAGTCTAGAGTGCCACTCTTGAGGTTACTACTTTTGACCAAAGTACCCCTTCTATCCCCTCTAAAGAGCAGGTCATGCAGTCTAGAGTGCCACTACCCCATCAAGCAGTCGACCATTGAAGCTGGAAAACATACCAAGCATATTCTCCCTCTGCATGGCACAAACTTTTCAAATCCTTGGGGTTGAAAGTTGAGGCTTACTGATCTTGCAACAGATTGGGAGACAGGGTTCTATGTCTCCCTACGCCCACTTGCACCAGGTGCAAGTGGCAACTTTTTTGCAGCAACTGGCCAAAAGCCCTCAAGGAAGGTGGTATGGTGGCCTGCCAAATACATGAACTTTGCAGATGTTTTGGTGGAAGAGAAGGCTTTAGTACCCCTTTCACCTAAGATTTGTGGCTGCGGTAATACCAGGGACCAAAATTCTAACTAAGAGGCAATAACTGATTATCTATCTATCTATCTATCTATCTATCTATCTATCTATCTATCTATCTA